TATAAAACAAAACAACAACAAAAACAAAATAAATAAAATTAAATAATACAATATAAAACAAAACAAAACAACTAAATTAAATTAAATAAAACAAAAACAACAAAGCAAAAAACAAAAAACTAAACAAAATGAAACTAAACAGTGTTTTAACGTAGGCAGAGGTTACCTGAAGTGGTAACATTTAATAGATGTCAGCACCTAATAATATATTTAATACTTTCTGACAAACATCCAATCATTCTGGCACTTCTATAACCATCATCCAACATACACAACACATGGTTGTATGGACACATTATCAGTGGTGGGCAGCACTAATCTAAATATTAGTTGCACTAACCCTAAAGCACTAATTCAATTATGTAGGTCCCCTAATTCTAAAGCACTAACACATTGGAAAAATTAGCAAAAGCTAATTTTAAAGCACTAAAATAATCCAGCTGACACATGAAATATTCTTCAGAGGCAGAATAGAATAGAATAGAATAGAATAGAATAGAATAGAATAGAATAGAATAGAATAGAATAGAATAGAATAGAAATAACCTTTATTGCCCCGCCGAGGGGAAATTCAGGTGTCACAGCAGCATCAGTACAGAGTTTCACACACTAGTTTACAAACTATAGACAATGCACACAAAACAGAAAATTATCACTAACTAGCAATCATTCTACTACTAACAGTAAAAATATAACAAAATATAAAGGACTGTGTTAGAACAAAAAAGACATGTTTTGTTTTATAGACTGTAGTTACCTGTCAGAATTGGCATTAATTATTAGAATTTACATATTTTTAGTGCAAAATAACTGCGACAGATTATTGAGTACGACCGTGCAGACAAGAAACACAGATGTGCAGTTACAGCAGAATTATTTTTAAAGTTAAAATGGGTAATAACAGATCAGTAACAAAAATGAGACAATATTTACTGTTTGCAGAATGTTGTCACTTAGTGCCCTTGGCGGGCCAATTGGGAGTCACCTGCAGGCCACATGTGGCCTGCGGGCCTTGAGTTTGACACATGCGACCTTGTAGATAAGTGACACATAAGAACAAAATGTGTGACATTTTTCACACTCAGCTGTGAACAATAATGTTGATCAATAAAATTTAGCCCATAAATTTAGCAAGTGCTAATCCACTAATGAATTAAAAAATAGATAAAAGCACTAATCAGGAAATTAGTTCCCCTATTAGTGCTTTAGGGGAACTGTGCCCACCACTGCACTTATATATATATATATATATATATATATACAGCATAAATATATAAAACAAAATTCTACCTGTTAAGATCCTCGTATAGTTCCCAGTAAGAGGTGTAATCCTTCTGTCCTCCAGGCCAATCTAACTTTAGACGTCTGAGAAAAGAGAAGGGATTACCTGGATGGTTTTAAATGGTCATGTGTGGACATAAGCCTGCATCCAATTACAAACAGCGGTATTACAAAACCTATCAATGCTTAAAGACACTATTAGACATTCTTGCCTCTGTCCTGCAAAAAGTGTTTTCCTACAAAAGCATAATTATGACAAATATGGCTTCTAAAACTATTACTAATAATAATATATAAATCAAACACAGTCAATCTTTTTTACTGTGTCATAAAAATTTGTATACATACATGTCACTATAACAGACCAGCAGGAAACTTTGAATTAGCAGGATATGGTTTGAGTACAACATGTTGTTTTATATAAATGGTTCTTAGGACTGTAGTTTTAATGGGTTTTAGGCAATGTTTCTGCATGCAGATAAATGATCACAGTGCTTTTTAGACATCAGAATGACAATACTATATGAT